GCACGGGAAGCCCCGGAGCAAGGGCCGAAGCTGCAAGCGGAGCTCGGGCGGCCGTCCCGGCGAGCGCGGCACCCCGCGGCCGGTCACCGTGGACAGCTCCAAGGCCAGGACCTCCCTGGACGCCTTGAAGATCAGCATCCGCCAGCTCAAGTGGAAGGAGGTGAGGCCCGGCCCGGCCGCGTGGGCACAGGGGGGTGGACAGGACGACCTCAGAGGACCCGGTTCAGCCCAGGCCAGGTCAGCGAGGGCTGAGCTCCTGCCGTGCGCCACTCTCGAGCCTGCTTGTCAGCCGCAACTGCTCATCCTTCAAGGCCAAGCCCCCAAAGTCACTTCCTCCAAGAAGGCTTCCCAGACCCCTCTAGGTCAAGTTAGCCTCCCCCTCCTCTGCTCCCCTACAGCTCTTTATATGTTTCCAGCCATCAGCGCTTTCTTCCTCATATTGTAGTTGTTTATATGTCTGTCTCCTCCATCAGCTTGTGAGTCCCTGGGGCCCAGGGGTCTCCCTCTTTCACTTCCTCATTGAAGTTATATTTCTTTAGCACTTACTGTGTGACTCTTGGGCGGCTTAACAGTTTGTGTTTTAGAGGCAGACCTAGGGTCTCACTACATCCTGCTACTTAGCTGTGTGACCTCGAGCAAATTGCCTCACCTCTTAAGCCTATTACCTCTGTAGAGTGAGGCCAATTATATCAGTCTCATCCTTTTGTTAGTATTAGATTCTAATACTAACAACTAGAAGACTCATGTCTTAGAGTTTTATAGCACATGCATGCAAAACATAAATAGTAGCCTATCTTAACACCCTCTTCTGTCTCCTTTCCTCTACCACCACCACTACGACCACCACCACCACCACCACCACCACCACCACCACCATCATTATCATCATCAGTGCAGACACTGTGTTTTATATTCCAAGGCTTGACATATAGCACGTGTCATTAAGTGGTAGTTGAAAGGGTGAACAAAGACAAGTTATTCATCCCTGAGCCTATTTTAGACTGGCGGGGGCTAGGGTGAGGCACTGATGGCTCCAGAGGTTTCTGTTGCAGTTGGCTGAGTGGATTAAGTCATTTGACTTTATTTGCAGCGTGTAGGTTATTTCATGTGCTTTCAGGGGTGTCAGGAGTTTGATTGAGAGTAGCCAAGTGTGGAGACTTAGCCCCAAATGGTCTGCTGATGGTAGGAGGGACCTGCAGCAGACATCTTGAGGACTCGGGTACTTAACCCTGGTCCTTGACTATGGTAGACACACAGTAATGGCTTGATGAACTTGGAACATGCAGAGATGGTCACAGACAGGACTGATGTGATCAGAGCATTGATGTCCCAATAAGAAAGGGTCATTTAGTGAGGGAAGTTTAAGGATCAGGCAAGACAGACTTCCAGGTGGATAGCGTTAGCCATTGGTGAAGTCTGACTCCAGGTGTCCGGGTCCCCACCCTTGGGGTTTGGGATTCAAAGAAGGACTTTCATGCTGGGGAAAGCAAGGATGGGTTCCCAGTTCTAGAGTGTGTGGGTTTCTAGACAGGGCCTCAGGTCCAGGCCAGAGATATGTGGACCTGACGAGGTAAAACTGGACAACTTGTCAGTGCCATGGTCCTAATGAAGAGGAAATGTATCAGCTCAAACCAGGCCATGGAGTCAGGCTAGGCCAACTGGCCCAAGTAGGGCCTGTGCTTAGCTTAGCCCTGTGGGAGAGACATGAAGCAGGCTAGATCTTGTTTGCCAGGAGAGATGGGTCCAAATGGACTCATACATCCCAGCCCAGGTCCATTCACCCATTCTGTAAATGTCCCCTATGGAGATGGCAAGTTCTATGCTGGGCCCTGGGACTCAAACATGCTTAAGATGTGACCCTTGTCCTCAAGGACCTAATAGCTCAACAGGGAACAAAACACAGTAGAGAAATAATTGCAGTGGTTACAGGGCTATTGCTGCCACTTCCTGGAATGCTCCTTTCCCAGTTATTTGTATGGTTTACTGTCACATCTTCAGATTTCTGACCAAATGCTGTCTCCCAGAGAGATTCCCCAGTGATCCCCCTGCAGTCTCTAGCCCTTGCTCTTCTTTATTTTTTTTCATAGCACTAAACTCCACCTGGCATTGTATGATGTACTGTTTGCTTACTGTCTGTTTTTTCCCTCCTTAGAATGTAAGCTCCATGAGGGCAGATGCTTTGTTTTGTTTACTGCTGTACCTGCAGGTGCTTGGCACATAGAAGCTGTTCAATAAATATTTGTTGAATGAATGAATACATTACGTGATGAGTGTTTTTCTCTTTCTATGTGAAGGTGTAAGTGCTGGGAGGAAGAGAAGGGGTGCCCCAGGAAGGACTTCCTGGAGGAGAGAACCCCCTGTTGAGCCCTGAGTACTGAAAATGAACTGGAGTTATTTAGGGGCTGTGGACTTTGGATCCCTGGTAGAGGGAGTGGCGTGGGCCAAGAAGAGGTCTATTCGGGGCTTTGCCTGTAGTTCAGTATGAATGCATCAAAGAGTGGGAGGTGAAGTGGTGAGAGACCAGGCTGCAGACATGATCATGTGGCACACTGTGGGATCTGGGCTTGTTTTAGGGAGGAAGGCGGTGTGAGTAGGTACAGAATTTTAAGGTCCTTACTTTTATCAGCTGTGCTACTTTTGGCAAGTGTGCTTAACTCTTCAGGCCTCAGTTTGCTTATCTGTACAGTGGGGTAGGTAGTACTTAGTTCAGTGGTTCCCAGTCTCTCTGTTGTTGCAGCCACATAGTGGTAATGCTAATCTACATGAGACCCTTGCACTGGGCAACCTAGTGATGCAGGCAGTTTCCAGGGCACTACCTGTAACTGTATCCTCTACCCCCAACCCTGCCTTTTTTCTCCCACTCGAAAAGCATATTGGCATGTAGATAGAGATGCTTATTTTAGTACATTTTAAAACATAGTTCACTGGGTATGGTGGCGCATGCCTGTAGTCCCAGCTACTTGGGAGGTTGAGGCAGAAAGATTGTTTGAGCCCTGGAGTTTGAGGCTGCAGTGAGATATGATCATGCCACTATACTTCAGCATGGGCAACAGAGTGAGACCCCATCTCTAAAAACAGTAAAAAGATTAAGGTTAAAAAAAATCATAATTCACTCACAATAAGATTCTAGTATTAGATGTGTGATTATTTACTTAATGTCACTCTTTCCATTAGTCTGTGAGGTCTTGAGGGCGGGGTTGGTGTCTGAATTGTGTCCCTAATACATAACACATTGTAGGCTCAATAAATATTCATCAAACGAATGATGGAATGCTTGCATTAGAGCTCACATCTCATCTTGACATCCTAGAATGTGGAGTTTGAGAAGTGCCAGAGTAGATAAACTTTCAAGTTTCTTCCTGCTTTAAACTATGACTATGGTATTCTTAGTACCTCCTACAAAGTTGACTGCATGAAAAGTAATATATATATATATTTTATCTTTTATATATATATTTTATATATACATATATAAAACCCTGGTACTAACAAAATGCAGACACACAACCTCTCTAGGCCTGTGTTTCCCCATCTGGTATGGGGGTGATGTTGGATGAGATCATCTCTAATTCCCAGCACTGGTGTTTTAGAGAAGAAACTTCTGGGGACTGTGGTGCAAGGGATTGGACATCAATGTCTCTTGCATGTCATGCTGTATTGCTACTGCAGGGCTTGGGAGTACCCAACTGGCTGGTTTGACAGGAGTGGGTGGGTAGCCCAGGTAAGAAACAGAGACATGAACACCAACTAGATTGAGAGCTCCGTCTCCTCTTGTGGGTGTGTAGTGAGGAACTGTATAACATGGTCCACTTGACAGGACCACACTCAGCCAGCCTGTGAATTCAGAAGTTTGCTCGGTTGCAGGGCACGCAATCTCCCTTCCTTTTTTACTTTTCTTTATTGCACATACATTTAACAACAAGAGTGACAACCATGATGATAAAGCCTTTTATAGCTCTTACTCTGTACCAGGTGCTGTTTTAAATGCTTTGCAGATATACTATTATTTGATTCTCCCAACAACCCAGTAAAGTAAGTGCCTTATTGTGTCCATCTTACAGATGAGAACATTTAAGTACACTTACCCAAGTTAACTTGCCCAAGTCACACAGATAGTAAGGGTTTGAAACAGGTACTCTCTTTGAAGCCAGGCTTCAGTTCTGTGCTGTTTTAGCAGAACCTGAGGTGGGGAGTTGTAGATGTGAATAGAACATGCCCCCTGTCCTCCAGGAACTCCAAGGTGGAGAGACAGAACTGCAAATAGACAGTAACAGTCCAGTCTGGGTGGTGAGGGGGTCAAGGGCGTTCTATACAGAGTAGGAATGAAGACAGGGAGTGTAGACTAGGTTTTATATGCAGGATGGGATGATGGCAGCTTAGGGAGTGTGTGGGAAAGCAGAGAGGGATGAAGAAGGAGCCCAGGTCCTGGCACATGCTGAAGGCCATTCCAGGAAGCTTGTGCTGCTGACTGTATTTGCTCACAGACTGCTTGCCATATATAGACTAGCCTCCTTTGCCCACGCTCCTTCAGTCCCAAATGAACCATGCCAGTTTTTGGATAGTTTTCAGTCATATCCATTCTGGTCAGGTCTAATTTAACTGTGTCCACAATGTTAAATTTGTTTCTCAAAGGGAAAATTCACAGATGCTAGTTCTGTAAACTTGTAGACAAGACTGAAGTTATTCTTGGATAGCTAAGTCATGTTTACAGAGTCATCACTGAAGCTGCAACATGAAAGCCAGGCAGCATTCCTGGCTCACAGTAGATGTTCAATGTTTATGGAATCATATGGTCCTCTTCCAATTATTTTGTCATTTTGCTACCCTCACTAAAGAAAACCTTAGAGGAAAGATACCATAGAGAATAGATGCCACTTTTGTTATAAGCTGCCCTCCTTGGAGATGCAGGTTGTGTATGTGTACCCAGCGGTGCCATGGACACCAGCTAACATGAATGAGGACTCTGAGAGATTTGATAGCAGGACTTTGTTGATGACAGTTTGCATAAGTCCCTGTCCTTTGTTAATGATAGTTTGCATAAATCTGTTACAGTATGAGCTCTTTGTTTCAGAGACTCCAACTCATGTATTGTTTTCTGAAATGTATCCAGCCTTTTTTTAAAGAATATATGTACACTTACTGTATTGTTCTACTTACAAC